GGCTGGGAACTTCTGTGAGGAGACACAAAAAAAGCAAGCAACCAACCAAACAGAAAAACCTGCAGAATTGTGCAGAGCTGCAGAGTTTGTGTTTCTTCCCCTCCAAAGCTTTGGGCAATGGGCCTGCTCTTTTCCAGTGCATGTCTGTTGAATGGTATTGCAGAGCAAGAAGCAAACCAGCTTCTTTTTTTGCACCAGTAAGGTTGGCTCCTCACTTACTGTGCAAGTAAAGCCAAGCACAAAAAGGTATGGAAACTTTTCAGTCCAGTCTGTACAATAACTTAGTTAGAAATGTCAGGAATTCAAGCCCTAGCAGCATTGCTGATTAATACCTGCTTCTAATCTTTGAAACATTTGTGGCAGAAGATAAATCACAGAAAATCTTTGTTTTTTATTGTATTGCTGAAAGATACATATATTTAAGAAGCCAATGAGTTTCTTCTAGGAACGTACACACTGCCTTCTTTTATGAGCCTGCTGCATGTTGACAGCTCCTATAGAATTATTTCCAGCCTGTTCAAATGTTTTTTACCCTTATTCAACTGCAGGCAAAATGACAATTCAGAGTTGCAATATAAAATGTATTTTGCTGGGGAATGACTGTGGTGAATTTGATGCCATTCTGGTTACTTGCTGTATTTCAAGGCAGAAGGCTATATTTGACTTTGGGGGTGGAAGAGAAAACCACAGTGTGCAGGCTGGGGAGTCTGGTGGTTGCTCTGTCACTAATTTATTGGCAGGTTTGGGGGAAAAATCTGCATTCTCTTTTTTTTTTTTTTTTTTCAGGCCAGATATTAACATGATTTATGACAGTAGCTATTTCAACAAGAGTCAAGTGGAAAATGCAACTCCTTGGAGAGTTATCTGTAGTTCTGAGTCATAACTAAGGCTCTTAACTATCACACTCCTGCAAATTATAACAAGGAAAAAAGCCACTGTTCCTTTAAAGCAGTGTCATCAGTGACTCAGAATATCTATTGATTTTTTTTTTTATTTCTACCAACAGTTTCAATTAAGATTCAGCAGATCCACTCTTGAGAAAACTCTGTATAATATGCTTAATGATGTTTTGGTTTAATATTGCTTCTTTAATTCTGCTAAAGAAATTTAAGTAATACCTTAAGGCATATTAAGGTAATTATATCTTTTATGTGTTAAAACATTGGTCTAAAAGGCTAATATGATGCCAAATTCATAGCTTTTGTTAAAAATTTGTGAGTGTGTAAATACTAAAATATATAAACATGTATTTCATCAACTTGTTTTTCAACTATGCAAAATGTAAAAGGCAACTATATTCACCCGGACAAAATACTTTCTGGATATGAAGGAATTATGGCATGGTCTAAAAAAGAAAAACAAAAAAACCTCCACCAACATAATGTTTTCCCTGAAAATAGAGTCTGTACCAACAAAACATCAGGAGAAAATTACTACAGGCTATTTGTCTTTACCCTTTGTAGTGCGCTGAGCAGATTTCAGTGTTTCATCCACACGTGAACAATTTGCTGGTTTGTAGTATATGCCACATTTGTCATGCCCTTTACCTGTATTTGTGCAATTTGGGGAGGTTAACTTCAGATGTGCAGCAGCTGTTGCTCCATATAGGACTGTGTGACCATATTCCACATGGAAGCCCAGCCGAAGGAAGGCAACAGGAGGCTCTGTCACTCTCGAGGAGATCTTGAAGTCTGCAGCAAAAGAAATGAGAAGGACAGCCATTAGGGAGAAGAGCAAGATGCTGTGTAGAATAAATGCATATTAATAAAAAGGTTTGTCTCCTGGGTCACTGTGCTTCCCATTTAGATTTCCATATTGGCATGTGGCAACTGCCGTAATTGCTTCCATTAAAAAGTAATAGCAGGGATATAATGTATTTTTAGTGCTCAATACAGCAATTTATCTACTAGGAACAGGGGGCGAAAGTTAGCACTGTACTGTTAACCAGTTTTCTAAAGACCATCTGAGAATTGTGAGTTGTAATTTGGAAATCTTTGGCTAAAAACCTAGAAGTACAACAGGAATATCTCTGAAATTTCCTTCAGACACTATGTACATTTTAAGCAGGTATATTTGTTAGTTGGTATGCATAGATCTTTCTGAAATCTGTCATTTCACAAAGCAACTTGGATTTTCTATTTCCATTTTCACTTGGTAGGCTTTCATCCCATTTCCTAAGCAGGCAAGATTGTGTGCTGGGTAACTTCATGTTAAATGTAGCTTCACTGCAGTCAACATTTGGAGGCCTCTCAGAAGTGCATTAGCTCTCCTACACATTAGGTTTTCTACTGGTTTGGAAATTAGCAAGTTCAAATAAAAAAAAACCCTGAAGTGCATATCCTGCATAGCAAGTGAAAAATGTCAAGAAATTAATTGCTGGTGTTCTCATACACAAAGAAGGGTTGATTTATGGAAGCAGCACTGAAATGGGTGGTGAAATTTTCTGTATTGTAATTTTAAAATGCCAGAACAGGAGGAGACCTTCAACACTGAGTGGATTCCGAAGTTCAAGAGAAGGTTTAGGCTGAAGAGCTATCAATTGTTTGCACACTTAAATATCCAGTTTATTAAGAAGCTGGAGGAGGGTTGACATCACCATTCTAAAGCTTTTCCTTCTGAGGACAGTTTGAGGTGTACAATCCATATTTTCAGTGCTCTGGCATTTCATCATTGAAGGACTAATGTTCTTTGGCTGTTTTCCTGAAGGGAGGATATTGTAAATTTGCCTTGTTAAGAGTAATAAGTATAAAGCCCGATAGAAGGAGGATTTAATAGTGGAGAAATGCCATCATTCTAAGCCTAGCATTCCTCAAGAACAAGAGACAGTCTGATGTATTTCAGTATTGTTATGAACTTTATTAATCACTTAGCTGTGCTGCAGCTGTAATGAGAGACTCTGGAACAACATTGCAAAACATGTATCTAATCTGGTCCATGTGAAGAAGAGGGTGGTACAGTGGCCTGAAGGGGAAAGGAGAGACAAGGATGCCCAGTTCATCTCCAGGAGGTCCTGTCTCATGAGCAGGAGCAATATCAGTGGACAGGTTTAGAGGAAATGTATCTCTGCGTCTGTTACAGAAAGGAGAAGTGTGAAAGAGGGAGAAGTGAGGTGAAAAACAGCTACAGTGGGGGAGAGGGAGGACTGGAAAACTCCTCAGGTCAAAAAAAGAGGAAAAATGGCAAAGAGCTGCAAGAAAAGATTTTTTAAAAACCCCAAAGCCAAACTAAATAACCAGGTTGAAGGCCAAGAGATAAAATCAAAAAAAAAAAAAAGGCATTGACAGTAAAAAGAAAAAAATCAAGCTATGAAGAGATGGAGAAGACAGATTTGAAGAAAATATATTGATTTAGCTTTAGCCTGTGCCTCTTTGTGAAACTTGAGTTTAGAAGATCTTTGGTAACCAGATAATTGAAATCCTTAAAATTATTTAATTAGATTGAAGGCCAAGAGATAAAATCTTGGGCTTGCCATATCAGGAATAAAAAGTGTTCATCTCTTATTTACCTTCTGATTGATTCCCCTTCGAGTTAAAAGCAAACATGCTACATTTGGACAGAAGAAGGCACTGATGTACTTTCTCCTGATTTAGAAATGTAGAATACAAAGCGACACATCACTTAAGGGTAATTAAAGCTATCACACAAATGACTAGTCTGTGAAGATTCAAGGGGAAGCAAGTTTGTATCTGTGTCTGAGTTGAGTCTCCCAGCAATTCCTGTCCAGCAGTACTAGCTATGAAGGATGATTTGCTTTGTTTCCAGTTGCTACAACTAGAGAATTTATTTCTTAATTTAATTTAATGCTTACCTCAGAGGTCATTTATTTAGGTTCGTCATGTGTTAAATGGGAAGCATACTGAATGTAAATTTACCTTTTTGGGTGTACATCTTATTTTTTTTACAAAAATGTATCTGTGATTTCAAACACTGTTTTTTAAAGTGCTGTCTGTTTTACTGCTTTTGTGGTTTACATTAGCAAACATGTAGTTCTTATTGGCAATCGTGTCACCATGCTGATTTTTCTTTGGGAAGAAGCAAACGTCAGTGCACATTTACTGGGCTGTAAGTCTTATACTGTGTCCAGTGAAAATTGACTCTTCTGACAGTAAGATACACCTTTGGAAACTAAGTAACGTCACTGGTGATAACTCTAGTTTTGTCTCAGGGTTAATTGTATGTGCTATTAAGCTATTTTCTCTTAGGGTTGTTGTTCTGCATCTTTCTAAAGCTTTGTTTCGTGCTTTATCATTTCAAGTAGTAATTCTTGAGTGCTAAACCTGAAGTAAATGGAGCACTCCTTCTACACCATGATACGTAAGCATTACATTACATAGGGATGGACTTGACTAAATATGTTCAACCTCTGACCTTCTTGGAGTCTTCCCAAAGACTGACGATCACCTGCAGTTAACTGTTTGAGACTTGATTGCACATTGGTTTGAACCTGAGTGGATTTCAGCCTTCATGTCTTTAAAAGTGCTCATAAAAAACGTTATGTGTGCTGTGTTACTCTATAAGAATGCCAGAAGAAAGGTCACAGGAATTTATATTTTTACATTAAAATACCTAAGAGAAGGTCATGGAGTCTGATCTTTGCTGTGCTGTGGGAGTTAGCAGAGGTGGATTGAAAGCTTTTTCAGCCCTCACCTGACTAAGCTGAGAGATTCTAGGTTCATTTGGCCATGGGCTTTTCTTCCACCTGACTGTCAGGCTTTTGGAATAAAATTTGTTTTCAGACATCAGTTTTAGTATCTTCCCTTTACAGTTGCTTTTTTAGTATTGCAGTATCTTCTGTAGCATATAGTGGTGTAATAATCCATGGTGTCCTGCAGCAAAAATTGAGCAGGAAAAACTTAATTCAGAAGAGTGCATGTTTTGCCTTCTGATTTGTTTGCAGCTGACCTTTGATAAGGGCTGGTTCACGCTTGCAGATTTTTAGAATTAATTTTGAGTGTATGCTTGTCTAAACTTTTTATTCATTCTCTTGTTTTCTTTTGCAGATTACAGATAGAAGAATCTTCTAAACCTGTTAGGCTATCACAGCAGCTGGAAAAAGCTGTAACCACAAACTACAAGCCGGTGGCTAATCATCAATATAATGTAAGTAGCTGTCAGTATTTTCCCTTATTCTCTTAGCCAACAATCTGGCTCAGGACCTCAGAATCTCTCTGCTGCTGTCCTGCAGCCTTTTCACCCACATTTGGCCACTGTCTTTGTAAATGTTCCATGTTACCTGTTTTCTCCCTGATTTTGTCTTGTTGGGATGTTTCTGTCTCAAGACCAACATCACCCTTGGGGCTAAGGTCTCTCATGTTGCCCTATGGAGGGCAGACTACCTTTACCCAAGCCTCCTCTAGTGTCTTTATTACATTCTTCCTCTAGTCTTTTTTTTTTTAAATGTGGTTTTGAGATTTGAGGATAAAAGGCAGTTCTGGCTTTGTGCTATGAGATGTGGAATCACTCCTTTGAGCCAAATAAAATATCATATGGAGGTGGGTAAAAGACTTGAAAAGAATTATTAGTTTCCAGTCCTTTGCAGGAACTGACAAGTAGCAAAGAGTAACAGCTGACAATTTTTCACAGTTTCATACCTTCACAGTACGTGTTATTTGCATCATTAGCTTTGTCAACATTAAACCCACGCTGCTGTTCCGGATCAGTTGATGTACATACAAACTATAATGTCCTTTTTCTTAAAGATCCTCTTTGAGTAATTTGTATGTATGCCTGTAGAATCACTGTTACTGCTGAATGTGAGAAATGTTAAGTCATATGGAAAATGAGTCACTGTGTTAGTCATTTAAACTTCTACACTTTTTATTAAGATTTTATTTACATAAAACAAATGACAATATACTGGATGATACTTAAGCATTATTCTGACAGGCAGAATTTCCACTAACCAAAAATAATTGTTTCTCTCTCGTGGGACTGTTTAGTAGTAGTTGCTCTTCAAAGTCTGATCTATAGATAGAGGATGATACCGATATAACTAATTCAGTCAAGGGAGTGACATTTAGCCAAAATAGCCACACTGGTATATCCTGCTATGCAAGTACAATTTTATATGAGTATACTGTTTTATGATGCCACTGTTGTTCTCCTTTAATTCTGAAATAAGCTGTTGTGATGTATACAGTGTCTCATTCTAGTGGGTATGACAGTATGACTTCAACCTAGAGACAATCTTTGGATCTGTGTCATGAGGAAACTGAAGTCTTGTGTGAGATCCGGGGAGTATAACCAGGACGTAACAAAGCTTTTTAAAAGTCATGATACTCTTGTATGTAAATTATAATGGTTTTTAGTGGTTACATAGCTGTTCCTGCTAATGGAAATCCTTTGGCAGTGTGCTTATTTTTCATCTCTGCTTTTAAAGTGTTGTGATGGAAACATCTAGCAGGATGTACTTACGCTTGAGTCACTCTTGGCTGTGCCTTGATTCTAAAGGCCCAGGAACAACTACTTTCTGAAACACCTTTTTCTTCATTAAGTCTTTTATTAAGCTTTAGGTGAGTGGCTGAAGGGATGTACAACTGGGAGAAGGTGTCCGTGAACTTTTTTAACCTATTGGTTAATTTTTTCTGGTGTTTTCAAGCAGCAGTTGCTTTCTTGCTGTATTGCTTGTAATCATATGACAGCCCTGCTGGGGACTTTTCACAAGAAAGAAGAAAAAAATTTACTGACTGCCATACATGCTGATGCATTTGGTCATCTTCTGGAGTTTCTCAGGAAAGACTGAGCATCTTCTAAAAAAGGAAGGAGTAAAATTTCCTGAAGGAAGGTATGATAGAATATAAAATGGAGCTTCAGTAGCTGCTCTATGTACCCCCCTAAATGAATATATAACAGGAAGGAGGATGGAAGGAAATTACATGTGGATGAGAAGTAGTAATAACGTGTTTGAACACAAGAACAGGGGATGTTATTTTTCAATAAAGTATATTAAACCCACATTTTTATTAGAAGAAAAAGCAATTGCGTTAAAATATATACCAGGATTATAACTTAGCTTTTCTTCTCTGGGAAAGGGACCTTAATTTTCTTTATATCTATAGATGATAAAAGTCTTTAAAAGGCTGCAATGTGAAGGTTTTTGCACTTGTAATATTTCTGTGACTTTGTGGGTTTTTTTCGTAACACGGCAGAAAATGTCTCTAGGAGTCCTGGGTTACCCCTTCAAAAGCTTCTTTGTGGTCTCCCCTCTTCCTGCTCTTGCCATCCTGTAGAAGTTGGTACTGATGCTCCAGGAGATGGAAAAACATTTAAGACAGCTTTTTAACTTCTTCAGATTAAACATTAAATTAGTCTTACTTCTCTTATCACCTTGGCATTAGCTGTCTACAGAAGCAGTGTAATTCATCAGCTTCAGTATTAATGGTACCTTCAGGAAGGCAATTCTGGCACCTTTTCAGCAAGCTGGGAAGGTAAACAAAGAGAAATTGATCTCTGTATGAAGTCTTGCAGGGATAAACTTGCGACTTCTACACTTGACAGCTTGTTCTAAAATGGTCCTTCCTTGCAAGCAAATAGTATTTTAATGCGTTTTAAATTTAAAAAAGCCTACACCATTTAAAATAAATTTCATTAGTTTACAATGTACGTGCATTCTGGAAATACGACTTTCAAAAGCACTTTAAGCATAAAACATCCTGTTTGCAAAGAAAACAGGAATGAAAAAAATGAAAGGCTGCATTGTAACTTGCTATGAGCAGTACTTTTTAAAAAAAAATAGCACTTCACAATGCACCCTGTGTTTTTAGACAACAGTGGGGGCTGTTGCTGAAGTTGGAGGGAAATGCTGGAGTGTTGCTAATTAAAATGCGGGCAACTGGGATGCCACCTGCAAATAACTTCAACAAAAGGCGGGTTTGATACTCAGTTTTCTGTACGAGTTGGTTTTATACATTAATGAATTAATAATATTAGAATATTCACATTGCATTTGTATAGGGTATACAAGCACTCCTCCTTGATTTACTTTAGCTCATCCAAAAATGTAAAATAGAAGCTTCTACTGGGAGAGGGTACCAAGGCACTAAAATAATAGAGAAAGACGACTGTTGGGCATTACAGTTTATTATCCACAAAATGTTGTGCCTTGATTAAAAATACAACTTTGTATTTTCCAGGAGACTGTTACTCGTGCAATTAAGATTTTATACCCAGTCATAAAATAGGCCTGTCAGAGACCTAACATCAATGAAGATAATGTTCAGAATTTCCTTATTGTTTCTTCGTTCCTTTGTGTAGGAAGCATCAATTTTAAAGTGAGTAAATTTTTTTCTGCACGTAGAGAGTGTAGGAGCTAGTTGCCAGCTAAGCACATTTTTGCTCTATGTCTTTTGAAGAGGTACAAACAGTACCATGAATTCTTTGGTGTTGTTCTCAGAGATTGTATTGAGAGTTCCAATAGCTTTTCCCATTACGCACATGTTACTTACCCATTATTCCCTTAGCTCTGCCATGAACAAAAGGAATAACCTCAGTGCTTTGCTCTTGGTCTTACTCCTTAAAAACAAAGCAGAAACCAGATAAGGAGGAGGTGAATTTCTTCCATCACTACAACTTGACTATCCACCTGAGAAGGCTGAAGAGTTTTTCTGTTTCTGCTTTTCCTCTTCTTTTTCATTTTTGTTTTTATTGTTTGGGGAGGCAGAAAATTGCAGAAGGGTTGGTAAGAAGAGGCGTAATAACTGCTGCTGTGGTAGAGTAATGCAGTCTGTTCTTATCTTTCACATCACATCTTTCAACTGGTGTTTTTGGGTCAGAGAAAAGTTGCTCACCTTATAAACAAATGCATAGGTCTTTACATGGAAAAGTGACCTCAGATGTACACAGGAAACCAGAACTCAGTCAGGCTTTGCAAATAGAGATGCCTTTGTCTCTCTCTCCTGTCTTCTGAATTTGATCTCTAAAGTATCGGAGGCTTCTCTGGCAATGAATTAAGGCTGAATAATCCGTCTCCTCCTCCTGTAAAATGTTAACATGTGCATATATTCAAATATTATTAAGTTGGAAGGAAACATACGATATATCCTACAGGATGGTAATTGCCATGTTGGACTATGAAATACTAAAGAGAAAAAATCTGGTGCAGTTTTCATACAGGACCAAAACATATTTATTGTCCCCAGCTAGATTAGTTTATTTTCAATAATGTTCGGGTTGCTGTTCTTGACTCATTTTCTTCTGAAAACACAAGTGCTGTCTGTAACTTTGTACATGTCAGGCAATGATGCTCCTGCCATACTTTGTGATGGTCTTACTCATTTGTTTATTTGAAGCACTGTCATTCTGATTGCTTACAGGACAACGAGTTTGTCTTTTGAGTCTCTCTAGCTTAAAAAGAAAAGAAGCTGTTTTCAAATAAAATTAATATTGAAAAATGGAAACCAAAATTGTTCTTGTAGATGGAAACACAACTTTCAAAATAAACACTATAATGGGATACTGATTATGATAGGTGCTTTTCAATGCTAAGATGAGGTATCCTTTGGATGCACCCATGATCTTGCAGCAAGTTCCTATACCATCCACTAAGTTAGAACATGGCAGTGATAGTAGATGATTCTTCTGGAGAGATGGTTGCTCTGTCAGGAAAAATAAAAATGCTCATCATGTATTTTAGTATGTTCTGATTTAAGTCAGGTGTATTTTTAATGCTGCAAACTGACTAGTGTCAGATCAGATGAAGATAAGGTGCGAAGAACTTCTTGGCAGTCAGACAGTCGATTTAGTGTATTCCTTATCTTGCAGAAGAGACAAGCGCTCTCATACATCTCCTATTTCATCCTACATTTTTATGCAGCAAAGAACCAGTCTCCTCCTACTTCCCACCTTGGTATCATTTCTTTCAGTGCATCATACAGAAACCCTTGCTCACCTGCCGGGATATGGGTAGTGCTGTAGGTCATAGTAGACTTTTTAGGTGAATGAGATTTTCCCTACTTCTCTTATATCTGTATGACTGTGTGAATATTTCCAGTAGAGAACTGGCCATCTGTTGGTGGAGTTGCAAGGCAGAGCACACCCTGGCTATGCTGCTTGCTATCTTAAATCATGGAATCATCAAGGTTGGAAAAGACCTTCAAGTCCAACTGTCCACCCTACCACCCCTAACCACTGAACCGTCTCCTGAAACACCATGTCCAGCTGTTTTTTTAACACCTCCAGGGACAGTGCCTCCACCACCTCCCTGGACAGCCTGTTCCAGTGCCTCACCATTCTTTCTGTGAAGACATTTTTCCCAATATCCAATCTGAACCTCCCCTGGCACAACTTCACCCCATCTCCTCTTCTCCTATCACTGGTCACTAGGGAGAAGAGGCCAACACGCACCTCACTACAACCTCTTTTCAGGTAGCTGTAGAGAGCCATGAGGTCTACCCTCAGCCTCCTCTTCTCCTAAGCTGAACAGCCCCAGCTCCCTCAGATTCTCCTCATGAGACCTGTTCTCCAAATCAGCCTTTGTGTTTGTAGTTTTGAAGAGTGCCATCTGGGTAGACTTTTTCATATATATTTTTCAATGCTTTTGCAGTTCTACTCCATGAGTTTATGACTAGATGCAGTCTACTTCCATTATACAGCATAGTGAGACTATACTGGTAGAGAAACAGAAATGGAATCCAGAGCAGGGCTTCCAAAGCTTAAAATTAAAACCTTTTCAAGGTCAACAGAGGTTCCTGTTGAATTGTCTGTTGTACTTTCAGAAAAAGCAGGTGTTTTGACACACTCTTGTTAATAGCAAGGCCAGTGTCCTAGATTTGTGTTTCTACTCTAGTTTCTGTGGTGTAGCAGTTCTGCTGTAGATCATGGCAACCAAGATGATTAAATTGTTTTACTTGATGCTAGTTTGCAGTTTTGAAGATTTTTTTTTTTAATGCAGAGGCTAAAGAGTTAAATAATTACACCGAATTGTTTGGAGTGAATGTGCTGGTCTCTGCAAATCTTGCTTCTGATGATGAAACTGGAAATGCAGGAAGTGTTTTTGGAGATGGTAAAAGTTTCTGCAAAAATACATGGTCACCTAATGCAGATTATAATAGTTAAGTACTTTTAATATGCATTCTGAAATAGTGTGTGTGCTATGTGTATGCTCCTCATGTTTCTCCTGAAGAGGTACCATCCATATCCTCAAAGTATTTCTTCACTTGGTGAAGACTGGGTTTATATTGACAGAGTGGTTGCTCTTTCTGGAAACCTCACCAGGTGCCATTTGAGCATCCTTTGAGCATCCTTTGGGCAGGTGGCTGTGAATGTAGCCATGTTGGTCTGTGGATTTTCCTGAGTATGACAATTTGTAGGTTGTGTAATATTTGCTATTATACTGCAGAAGCTGATATCAACAGAGGTGAAAATACCATCTTATTTTGGATTCCTGTACTGATATTAATTCTCTCTTCGGGTTTGGGCACATCATGAAGGCTGTTTCTGGGATTTTTTACTGGTTAAAGCAGAGATACGTATCTGAAAAGCTTATTTTACTGAGCTGAAAATGCTTAGTTTATGTTCATAACATTTAAGTTCACAAAAGAACGTTTTCCAGATGAAAAGCACTGAGTCATGGAACAGTGTTTTATTAAATAGAAGAGGGTTTTTTATGTTTTTTATGGATCTCTTTAAAATGTGTTTTGTATCTTATAGATTGAATATGAGAGGAAGAAGAAAGAAGACGGAAAACGGGCTCGAGCTGATAAACAACAAGTGTTGGACATGCTTTTTTCAGCCTTTGAGAAACATCAGTATTACAACATTAAAGACCTGGTGGACATAACCAAACAGCCAGTGGTACGTACTGGTAGGCTTGTAATAGAACTGTTTTCAGTAGTTACTGTTGTGCATATTTTCCATGTCCAGAGAATAGTTTTGTATCTAGGGTATGCCTTTGAAACAGCTCTCTATATACATTTTACAACAAACAGAAATCACCAAGTTTTAAGTTGAGCATTGTGGGACTCTGTAGGATATCAAGCATTGCAGTGATTGTGCTTTTTCTTGACAGAGGTGGTTTAAGTAACCTAAAGAGTCTATTTCTTGTTTAATACTAGAAACCAAATTATGTAATGGCCTGACATCTCCTATGGTACTCCTGTCCTCACTGAAGTAACTGCTAGTGTTGGCAGTAGAAAAGCTGTGGAAGTGAGTGGTCAGCCCTTCCTTCACCATCAGCCACAGGGGTTACTCTTTTTCTGTGGATCTAGAAAATGGTGTTTTGTGGAACTGCTATTAAATGCACACATTATGCATATTAGGAGCTCAGGTGTCATGTCAGCACAAACAAAATCCTTTGATTTCCTTTACAAATAGATTAATGTTTAGACTAAGAGTTTAGAGGTCTGATATTTGGGATTTATTTGAGATTTTTTTAAGCATTATTTACTACATAAATAATACATAAACAAGAAAAGCGTGAATATGTGTGCTTACATGATGGTTTTGTTATTCTGCAGTGTCTGCCAGCCCCTTCATCTGTGAACTCTTAACTTCCCAGTTCTTTCCCTTCTTTCCCTGTACCAGCTTTCCTTGAGCAGACTAGACAGGAGTGGGAGGAGACAACAACACATGAATAACTTTGTTGCTTTTCATGTTTTTTACTGCTGACTTTGATATCCTCAGCCCAGCTGCAGTTTTCAGAAAATTTAAAGGGACTTAATTATGTTTGAGCCTAAATGGAGGAACAATTTCAAAAGTTGTTAGAGCTAAGGCAGAAGAAGGAACTGAATTCTGAAAAAAATACTCTTCTGTAAAAGAGGGGGAATTGGAGCTGCTTACTAGTTTTGCTCACTTCATGTTTCAAATTCAGTGAATCTGTATCAGAGGATTTGTATAAGGTGCACGAAGATGTTACCCAGTTCAAATACAAGTAGGTTCATGGTACCTTGGAAGAAAGTGTTGTTTGGATAATGTATTTGTGTCTTCTATTCTGTTCATTTATCTAATGAGTCAACTCCTTATCTGTGTGGCAGAGAAGGTGTGTGGATTGTGGGAGCTGAGAAGGTAGAAGGAAGAGGAGGAAGATAGAGAGTGGCAAGAAAATTTTAAGTAGTTTGTCAGGTTTTTTTAAGAGATAGATGTGACAGTCACCATCTCAATCACTGCAAATGTAAGTAGGTGCAGATTTATCCTGTCTAGCATGACTTCAGCTAGAAATAGTCACCCACAACTGCCACTTAAGCCATGAGAGAACAGAAGTTTTCTTCCTCCTGTGATGTGCATGTACCTGTCTCTCTGGATGAGCTCAGAGGAGCCTGAAAAAGCTGTGCTTCTGACACGAGTTTCTTCATTAAGCACCAAAAGCTGGGCAAGATAAATCCAATTTTTGTCTTAGTCACTGCCCTGAGGATTAGATGCATAGAGTAGTTACTAGATTACATGTACACAGCAAAATACTTCACATGAATTCTTCTATTACAGTTATGATTGTTTTTTATGTCTATATATATCTACTGTCATCATATGCTCCTGTATATTTTCTGCCTGTAACACAGTAGGTCTGTGCTGTGGACTTCAACCTCAGCAAATCTAACCGTTTTCAAATATTGTAGTAATACAGATATGTTAAAGGGAAATTTTAGACTTGTTTGACTCAACAACACATGTTATTTGGGCTATATCTTTGCATCTGTGTTTCTTATTTGAGTCCCTTTACTGATGGCAGAAAGTCTTGTAGCACTCCTGGGATTAATCAAGTCATTAAACCCTTTTCCTGTGAGTGGGCTGTGTGGCCTGAGCTTCAAGCTCTGTGCAAGAGTTAGGGGATTTCATGTTCACTCCTCAGCCCTGGATATCATGAGAAAATAAATTACAAAAATCCTCTTCCTGACGCCTTTCTTCGGTCACTGTGTAGCCAGTATGGTGATAAATCCAAAACTATCTTTCAGTAGCTCATCCACCCCTCGTCTTCATGGATCAACAAGCCAAGGCCAATTGCATGAGGTTCAGTAAGGCCAAGTGCTGGGTCTTTCGGTCGCAACAACCCCAGGCAATGCTACAGGCTTGGGGCAGAGTGGCTGGAGGGCTGCCCAGCAGAAAAGGACCAGGGGGTGCTGGATGAACATGAACCATCAGTGTGCCCAGGTGGCCAAGAAGGCCAACAGCATCCTGATCTGCATCAGGAATAGTGTGGCCAGCAGGAGTAGGGAAGTGATTGTGCCCCTGTACTCAGCCCTGGTGAGGCTTCTCCATGAGTACCGAGTTCAGTAATGGCCTGAAGTTGCAGCAGGGAGGTTTAGACTGGGTATTAGGAAGAATTTCTTTTAATGGAAGAGTGTTCGGGCACTGGAACAGGCTTCCCAGGGAGGTGGTGGACTCACCATCCCTGAAGGTATCCAAGAAATGTGTAGATGTGGCACTTCAGGGCATGCTCTAGTGGGCATGGTGGTTTTTTTGTGGGTTGTTGTTTTTTTTGTGGTTGTGGTTTTCCCTTTTTTTTTTTTTTTTTCTTTTTTCCTCTGGGGTAGACAGTTGGACTCAGTGATCTTAGAGGTCTTTTTCAACTGTGACCATTCTGTGATCTAAAGCTATCCTAATTTCCCATCTGGGTTCCCATTTAAAACTTCTGTAGGGAGTTGCTATGGCACTCATATCCATTTAAAAATACCATCACTTGGTTCCTGCTGCTCAGCAGGTGTTTGCTCAGTGTGTAAGCTTCCCTGATGCTGCAGACTTCAACCTCTGGTGTGCAGCTTTTGGGTTTTTTCTGAAAAGAAAGTATCTGTTCCTTTTGCCCACTGTGACTTTATTGTTCTGCAGAGCAGCTATAACCTGACCAAAAAAAAGTAAGATGCCGACAGGTGAATAGGCAGGCATGCTTACCCCGTGCTGTACAGAGGTTGGCTGCTAATTAATCTCTGCTGAGTGTTCACTGCTTTAGTTTCTGTCATAGTGTCTAAGATTGTCTGGGTATGTAATTTCTCCTCTGAGTTTCTAAATGTTGAGGTTATTTTCAGACATGGGGAAAAAAAGGCTGCTGCTGCAGCAGTCTCCTCAGCTCCTGTAGAAATGAAGTTCTAGGTGCTTACATCACTAGCTTATAGTATTTAAATAATTTCTCTAAGGGAATTAACATCTTCATGAGTGAAGTAACAAATAAATAAGGGTATTTTTCTTATGTAATGGTAAATAGAAATAGTAAATAATATAATCATAGCTGTTTTGGTTTGGAAGGAACTTTAAAGATCTAGTTCCAGCCCTCCTGCATGGGCAGGGATACCTCCCACTAGACCAGGTTGCTCAAAGAAAGCTCCATCCAGCCTGGCCATTTGAACACTTCCAGGAATGGGACACCTACAGCTTCTCTGGGCAACCTGTGCCACTGTCTCACAGTACAGAATTTCTTCCTAGTATCTAGCCTAAATCTCCCCTCTTTCCATTTGAAACCATTCCCCCTAGTCTTATCTCTACATGCCCTTGTAAAAAGGGTAAAAATGGAAACAAAATAAAACGCACAGTGATTGAACACTTGCTACAAAATATGTTGCATGTTACACGGGAAATTCCTGCCATTTTTATTTCCCAGTCATTTAAATGCAAGTCTATTCTGAATGCAAGCAATTGTTACATTTGAGAAACCTGCGTTTATTTGTTTTCACTCTTAATGAAAAAATAGCAATTTGCAGTGGTAGGCAAATCTGTTGCCACCTACCCAGATGTAAACACTTTCTGGAAATACTGCAGTAATTCTAGATTTGGACTTCATGCCTGAAAAACATAACATGCTTTTTCTGTGAGCAATCAAATATTTGGGAAGAATGGAACCAGTGGTCTAAAATGAACTGTATTTTTACAAAATGGAGTAGATTGTTTGCAGTTTTTTCTTTAGTTTCAGTTTTACTAAATGGTTATCATAAATACAATGTTGGGGTGTTTTTTCCTTCAAAGTTTCAGAAGGGTTTTCAAAGCTTGGAAGCTGACTCCTCTCTCAGAAATTCTTGTCCCATAATTCTATAATATTTCACTTTTTATGGAAATAATCATGAGAGAAGGTGTAAGAGAGCAGAGGATGCCTTAAATGTGCAGATTACCTACAGTTTAGCTTCTGTGTTATATAAACATATTGAATCCCTTTCTGAGAAGAAATTGTGGGCCCCTGATTAGTGCTCACGAGACCCTAAAATTCAGTATTTGGCATCACTGCAGGAAGTGGGGAGGTTTCTTTCCATGATACAGTGTTTAAAGATGTATAGGCCAGTGTGGCAGAACATAGGCCCAGGTGGAAGGTACTTCTGGAAGGAGAATTGATCCTGCAGGAGAAATTATAACACCCCCTAGACTCATCAAAGCACTTGCTCTATGTATAGTACAGTACAGCAGGATTATCCCCGATCTGTGCCTAAAAGCTCCAGCAGTTCAGCATTGTTTCTGCATCCAGAGTGATTGTTTGGGTGTGTATGCCCTCAGCTGCTCTCCCTAAAATCACTGCTGCTTGTTTCCCTCCACAGCAGGGATGGGAAATAGGAATACATTGTGAATTCTCAGTTGCTGCATTTCATGGCCCCAGCTTGAAGTGCCCTCACTTGCGGCACACACATTGCTTGGTTTTGTTCCAGTTTGTTATGCTGTTGATTCAAAACTCTTGGAAGTTCTGCCCAGAGAGCAGGAGAACTGCCTGGGAAATAGGGTCAGAAACCTAGTTGAAACCAAGTGTAACCTTTAACTGTGGGGATGGTTTGGAGGCATGAGCAAGTAGTGAGAGGTGAGAACTGTCTTGTGCAAGATGTCACCCAAGGTTTCTGCCACTAAACAGCAGCGAGCTGCTGGGAGCCGTGGATGGTGCAGCCGTAGCAGTGTCCTCCTGCCTGAGCCCTGCAGCATCATCAAGCCTTGTGACCTGGCTTCCCAGATGAAGACCAAGTCTCTCAGGCCAGGAACTGTGTATGGATGTACTTCATGGGACTCAGTGCAATTATATTTTTTCCCCGATTTTCATGAATCTGGTCTAGAACAGAAGTGAGCCTTGAATCAGATTGTTTCTTCCGCCCACTCGGCAGTCTTTTGAAGTGTCTGTCAGTGACACTACCAAAAGCCAGCTCATGTGCGTGCACGAGGATTGCCAACAAAGCAGTGGATGTGCAGGTCACACATCTATACATACCCAGGCAGAAATTGCTCCTTCACCTGCTTTCACCACCTTGTGAAGAACGCACCACGCAGCAGCGTCACCGTACGACAACCTCTGCGCACTGCTTGCTGTTGTAGTCAGTATGTGTGTCTTCAGTACCTGACTTTCAAATAATGACAGCATCTCTGCAGTAGAGGAGATATGGAAAGGTGTGCTCAGAGATCTATGTTGATCTCCTGCTGCCACCTGCTGGGGTTTGCACTGTGCACCTATGGAATACTGAAGCGTCGTCCCCACCGTGCAAAATGAACTCCCTGCTCCCGGCTCGGCTGGGAGAACAGACCCCAAGAAACTAGTTTGCACACACAGCCTGTTACAGTCATCTTTCCTACCTGTTGGACAAACATCCCTCATAGCTTTGAGACAGGTTTTTAAGAATAATTTTGCTACATGAGTCCAAATGAGGTATCATCATTAGCGTAGGACCTGGATTTTTCTTTTTGCTTTGTAAATTTTGGATGTTTACCTGTTGAGAGAGTAATGATCAGTTTTTCTAAAAGAGACTGGTATTGCTGACTGAGAATATACTTTTTATTTCGCAACTTTTCTGCTTAGCAATAATGGGAAGAGTGTAAGGTAGAGACTGGGCAATCACCCTTTCTTTCTTTTCTTACGACATCAACAAGTACTTGCTCTTTTAAAATTAGTTAGAGTGTGTTGATATTTGTGCTTAATGGAACTGTAGATCCAGAAGATTTAAGGGTTCCAGTAACTATCTATACACTCAAAGAGGATTAAATTGCTCAAACTAAAGCAATTATGAATTTACTGTGGGGATTCTTAAACTGTGGCCTGTGGTTGCCATGGCAATCCACTCAAGTCAGTCCCAGTTCATATTTAAACAAACAAGCAGGCAATGGCTCTTTAAAAAATGAAACAAATTGTTGGTGTTTATTACAAAGAGTAACAGAGGGTGATCCTAGTGAGCTGTCTCATGTCAAAGGTTATACCAGTGGTATAATTGCTTTGCTTATTGATTTTCTTTAATTTCTCTTCTAGCCTTAATATTTGAATGTGTTAGAAAATTCTCTGGCATCTGCTCAGCTCTCCTCTAAAAACGAGGCCATAATAAATTGCTGAAAGGTTTGCAGAATGGCATGAAAACCAGCAGCTTGGGGCTTTGATGGGGCCTGAATAAGGCAGGGAGTTTCAAGATAATCCCAGCCCAAGCAGCACAAAAAAAACAAGACCTTTGAGCTCAGCTGGAGGAATTCCAGCAGGAGGAAGACATGTGAGATAGTGGTGATGTACAGACCTGCACAGTGGGTGTGTCCCACCACCCTGGAGAGCCACAGTGCCCGCCCACAGGGCTCACTGTGTGTGGTGGCAGTGAGCTCCAGGGGCAGAAAGCCTGCCTGCATCCCTGCTCCTCCACAGTCATGTCATAAACGTACCAGCATGTGGATTTTCAGACCAGCTGTCCAGCTGATACTCGGGGTACAAGTCAGTGGTGATCAGCCACCCTAGCTGCCCACTGGCTTGTTTGTATCAAATCAGTTCGTGTGATTGGGTAGACCATGAGATGTCATGTAGGAACTGTGGTAATGGCCTGCCTGTATGATTGGAATTTTTGTTTCCTTTCAGATATACTTGAAAGAAATTTTAAGAGAAATAGGCATCTACAACGTGAAGGGGACCCACAAAAACACATGGGAGCTGAAGCCAGAATACAGACACTACCAAGTAGAAGAAAAGAGTGATTAACAAAAGTGTTCATGAAGCAGGAGAGAATGAGAATGATTGCACTGAGGGAACCATGGTGGGTTTACAGACAGGACTGAACACAGTGAGTTCTGCAAGGATCAAGTTAAATTAAAGCAGATGATGCTTTGTAATTTTCTGTAGCTTCATTTTTTTTTTCCAAGGAATATTTCTCGTGCATTTCTGTAAGTGTTACGTCTTTTGACAGGAAAAAAATGTTTATAGAATAAACTTGCATTAGATTTATCTTTATTAGAAATCTTGAATTCTCATCTTACTTTTTATTGGGTTTGTGGGTTTCTCTCATTTTGTGGCTTTTCCAAGCCTTGGCAACTTTGAAGGAAAAGTTGTCCAAGAGGAACACATAACTTTGTGGGTTTATATCCCAGTAGAACCAGGGTAATACCCTCACTTCCGCTGGGATCTGTCAGGCTTTCATCTGGAAGGCTGGAAAGGTACACAGCCCCTTGCACATTGTTTGGCTGGAGCAGACATGATGCTTCTTTTGGGATCAGATTGTAGGACAGCCACAGTGGTGCTTATCACATCCTTAAACTCCAGGGGAACAAGCCAACACAGTGAAGAACCTGTAAAGCAAAGGCTGTTTGATACATAGGTCATTGGGAAGATGACAGTGCCCCCTAGGTGATTACTGAAAAAAAAAATGCAATGTCTGTCTATTAGGTACATCAAGGAATAGATTCATCTTTTTCTGATGTTACCCATGTTTTATGTATACTCAGATCAATAAAAGCGTTGTTTTAATTTGTACCACACAATGCTCTGCATTATTGACTGAACACGTGTCGTGATGTAGATGGTGTATGTATGTAGGTGATTTTAAGGCTTGCTTTGTCACTCCATTTCCGTGTGGCTTTGGGAAGATTGCTTAATGTATCCACATCTATGTTCCCCCCTGTTTGAAATGCACATTGCACGTTGTCTAGTCAAAATGCTTTTGGGAGGGAACCAGGAGGGAGGTGGGACGGGACTATCTAATTATATACTCAAAGCTTTTGCTTTTAAAGAGCAAAGAAAAGAAAGCAGGGAAAAAAAACCCTCATTAGAATACCTGTAAATAAAGCAGGTGACGTTTTATAGCACAACTTGCACACTTCCTCAGGCCCTTCAGATGGGAGCATCACTTTGGCACACTCCAATAAAATAGTAAGTCTGTGTGAAAAGCAGACATTCCATTATTGGTCCACTTGGTAGCAATGAAAGGTTTGGAGGGGGGGTCAAATGCTTTTGGAGGTTTGTAAAACATCTTTGAGCCCTTATGCATAAGCCACACATTTTAATTTTGCTCTATTATTTTTTTCTATAATTCTTTGTGTAGGTATCTCTGCAGATACACCTCCTGCAGGTGCTCAGCTTCCTGTGGCATGAAGTGTCTGGTTCCTAGGAGGTGGACTATAGGAGTTGGACTGCTGAGTTTTTGAAGAGCAGATCACATTCCAGGGATATGTGTGTGCTTTCATAAACATTGCCATTGGCTCCTGTCTCCTCAGGCTCTATGAGCAGGACCCAGCTTGCTAATGGCTGTGGAGGATACCTGGGGGTGTTGAGAGGGACCCATGAAGCCAGCCATCATGTCTTGCTGTGGTACATGGTGTCCTCCCCAGCAACAGGCACAGCCTGCACACATTGCTGGCCTCTTCAGGCTGTTCAACCCCTCTGGAGGCTTGTACTCACAACCATGTTAGATGAGAACTCTTGGTTTTCATGAGCTGGGCTCCTCTTTTGGATTTGTGTCCTATTTGAGCAGCTATGGTACCTAGAAATTCAAGTCAGCTTGTCCCTTGTGTTGCTCCTCCCATGATCTAAAACCATGCAGAGGAACACCATGCAATCCTGATTTAGTTGTGCTGTAATTCAGTGCCACAGGTAGAAATGGTCATGACATTTCTGAAATAAAAGAATTAGCTTAGTAGGAAAATATTTTGGATCTGCTTCTATTTTTCATTTTATGTGAGTTTACTGCTCCACAGTTTGTCTTCAGTTGAGAGGGACATAGTGTGAAATGCCAGAACAGGCATTTGGACAGGGTGCACAGGCTCTACTCAGGAGTAATGGAGAGTGTACAGAGCCTGCCATTTTTTGGTTTATGCCTGTCTTTAAAAAAAAATATATTTTATGGGCATCATTAAAAATGTGGAGAGTGCTAGAAGTAAAGAAGCGGTGGAGTTTTCAAGCAGTGAGCAACAGAAAGGCTGAGGAAAGCTGGGGTGCCCTGTTTCCTGAAGCCTTATCTGGAGCAGTGACAGTTCTCGAGGTACAAGGGGAATGGGACAATGAGGAAAGTCTATTGCAAAAAACAAATGGAAGATTTTATGCCAGGATAAACTAAGAAAAGACGCCCAGTGGACAGTCTAGAAGCCAGGCAGCTTGTGAAGCATTTTTGTTTTCCTGCTTCCTGCATGATTTTGAAGGCTTTGTAGCTTGTTAATGAGCAACTGGAATTTTAGCCCTAAAAGCAGCCACACAATCCACGTGGCATGAGAGTAGGGCACAATAAGCCCGCAGGGGTGTTGACTGAGAGGGTGGAAGATGCTCTGCTGTGCTGACCCTGGGACCTGTGCCATGCCTTCAAGGACTCTGCTGGCTCCTGCCTGGTGGGAGCATACAATAAAAATGGAGGTGGAGTTGTCAGGTGCCATTTGCAGGTCACCCACCATCCAGCCTGCAGCCAGGCCATGGCATCTTGCAGCACAAACCACCCTAGAGACAGAAGCAGCAGGGCGGGGACACGCTACCATGGGCCCCACATTCCCCCTTCTGCAGTAACTTAAGGTACTGCAGGACCAGTCCTACTTCATGCAAGGCTGTGATAATGACCTGGCACCTGGGGCAACCTCATTGGGATTTGGCACATAGTAACCAGCAAAAACCCTCCAGCTCCACTTGTTCTGCAAGGGGACCTGACACAAGTGCTGTTGGCAGCATTGCCATCTGTCAGCGGAGAGGAGGACGACACTTGTAGGCAATGGTCTGATCCCCTGGCCCCCAGATTGGGATGAATTTAAACCCTGAACTTGCAGCAGTGATGAACACCACTTCCCTGCTGCTCTTCCCATGTCTCTGCTTGCTGCTGAACTTGGCTCGTGCAGATGTTCTTTCCTATCAGTGATCAAAACACCAATCCATGAGCGGGTCCCATAAGCACAAGCAGAAGTACAAACGTGCTGAATGCCATTTCATGAGATGAAAAGCCAGCCTGCTCTCTGGCATTATTTCTCCTGAATGACCAGTTTGAGTCATCCAAAATGTCACACTCTCTAAGCCCAGCTGGACCTGAGCCAACGGAAGGCAGTGCTGATGCAGCTGCCCCAGTAGAGACATCCCTGTGCCAATGGGCTGGGAATGGAGGAGGAGGTGCAAGCCCAGAAGCTGCCTCTGCTGCATGGTGGGGAAGGGAGATGGACTTGACCCCAGCATGGGACAGGCCAGTCCCAGGACTGCCCTGCTTCCCACCCCACCAGCTCACAGCTCTAAACACCTGCCTGCATCTTCGGCAGCTCTGCCTGCAGCCAGCCTGGGGACTGCGGGTGAGACAGGCAGGACTGTGCCAGGAAGGGGAGCAGAAAGTACCAAGCATGAATATTAGCTGTGGACCAGCAAAAAATGACACGGTTACAAGGCCTCTGCTGCCCACACCACCTCCTTGACACAGAACTCACAGTGGGATCGGTGCTCACTAGCTGCTTTGATCCCAGTGGATTATGCTTTGAATCAGCTACACATTTTCTTCACCAGCTACATGGAGCTGGCTCCAGCTAAATGCACCTCCTGTGTATGCCAGTTTTGCCCACCTATGTTTGCAGGTCCCTGTCACCAGAAAGGCATTTTTATGTCACTGTATTTATTGACTTGGAACAAATCAATTTTTTTGCTAACACAGTCTCCAAGCTGAGCTGCTGTTGAAGGCTCACCTGGAAGAAAGCTCTGCTTCTTGAGCTTTTTGAAGAGCTGTGGCTGCATACAACCTGCCCTATCTCTTTGGTTCATGGCAGGTCTGGAGGACTCTTTCTTGACTCCCCTAGACAAGACTGCGTGTACCTACCAGGCTGTGGGGTCAGCCTTTCTCTCAGAGTACTTAATTATTTGCACAAGAATGACAAACTCCAACAGAAAAGATCAAAAAGGGCCCTTTCCAAAAGTGCTCAGCACTTGGTGCTACAAGCAGGTGCTTTAAGGTTCACATCTCTTCTCTGGCTCAAGCAGGACAAGCTCTTCCACTTTCAGCTCTCATCAAGCATAAAAAATAGGGAGTTCACTGCATTTGGGAATAGGGAATTGAGAACTACCTTTGGCTGGGGAGCACGGGCCACCCATAAGCCAGAGGTGCCTTTTAGCACTGGTTCAGCTAGTAACCCCTTAGGCTGGCAAGATGAGCAAGAGTCAAGCACCAGCAGCTGAACTTACAGCAACCCTGGTCTCTTTCCCAGCTAAGCAAATCTCTGTGCAACAAGCTGTTTGGTCCTGGTTGTGCTGGTCTTAGGAGTCCCTCAGCCCAAGTGTGTCCCCTGGAGGAGTGCAGCCAGCTGACAGGGGCTTTCTGCTCCCAACAGTGCCACATGGATGGCCGGGCTTTTGCAGCTGGTGTGTTTGCAGTTATAGGCAAATACATGGGAGAAGGGGGAAGCTGCAGTATTTGGCTTTCAAGCTGGAAAGAGAGGGAACTGTTTTTTCACCTCCATTAACTAGTTTTACCTCTGGAGCTCATTTTTGAGAGCGGGGACCTGAGCACTTGAGGCACAGGGAAGGCTTCCAGCAGCTGTAAGGCAGATGACCAAGGACTGAGGACAAGAAGAACAGACAAGGGCGAAGCCTTGATTAAAAGTAATGAAGGAAAACAATGGAGAATCCTTCCTCAGCCACCTGGGTCTATGCCAGCACCTGTCCAGCTGCCCCCACCAGGCTGTGGTGGGAAGGTTGATAGCACTGGGGGAGGGAAAGGGGACAAAAACCCCCTGGGCTTCACATGCCTAATTTAAGGTGGT